CAAAGTGATATTATTTTATTATTAAAACATATTGGCCTGAATCCAGTTGGTAGCTTTAACTAGAGTAGGTCCATTAAGTCATTTGGAGTTACTTATCTCTTGACTCAACATTAGCAATTGATTTAACATGTGTACTCTAGTCAGGACTAGCAACTGGATTCAAGCCAATCATCTTCTGTCTTTCTAATTTCTTTCAAAGTTCTCTCTAGATCTTTTATTTCCTGGGAGGGACATGCTTACTCTCTCTCTTTCCCCTTCTGCCTCCCAAATGTCTCTGCCTCCTAGATGTCTTCACTCGCCTCTTCTTTCTTCCTACCCCACCACACAGACAAATACTGTACACATGTATAGACACTCCAGTTCTGAGTGCCACTGCCCAGTGCCATTGTATTTTTTTGAGATCAAAGACATGGCCAATGCTGGGGACTCCTTGGGCCCTTCCAGGCTTAGCTCCTTCAGATCGCCTGGAACATAATCTGTTCAGAAGGGGATTGCTTTTGGTATACACCTCAGAATTGGGCTTTTCATCTTCTCACTCAGGGGCATCTTCCCAGTCCTCGGTCTCACTTTCCTCCTCGTCTTGTCTGCTAACTGCCCCCAGCATTTCCTCCGGCTTCCTTATCTTCCCTTCCTGGTGGGAATTTTCCTTGGTGATCTCTTTCCCACCTTTCTCCTCTTCCTGCTCTTCTGGGTTCCTCCAGCCTCCTGCCCCCACTAGGAGCATTCAATCCAGAATAAAGGCCAGGGGAAGGGATCCAGTCTGTGTCTACCATGTAGTTCTGGGAGGCGCCCTGGGATGGCCAGTGGGATGTTGAGGCAGACCGTCCCTGAACCACACCTATTCACCCACTGAAACAAATTCGTTAAGTGTTATGGATGGGTGAATATTTTACACTGCACCTTATCTTACTTTTAGACATTTTCTGTTACAGTATACTGTTAATGTCCTTAAACTTTAAAAGACAATGTCACAGACAAATCATTATTCTTTTACCATTCAAGTTTGATGAAGATAAAATTCTTGAAGATGTTCTTTTGTATATGCAGTGAGGGCAGCTTAATGGATCTTTCATCAGTTTTTTGGGTTCAGTATTTGCTGACAGCACTGAAGTGAGAAGAGGATGTAAGTAATGCTTCCTCATTGACGTGCCAATGAAACTGGGTTTTGGTACACTGAGTTTTAAGTTATTATTAGAAACTCATAATGCTTAGGTTTATTTATGGTTTCTTGGATGTTCCTTTAATGGGCTTAAGTAATGGTACATAAAGCAGTGGATGCACTTCACTACACTGGGCACTTTTTAAATTGACTTCTTGAGAAGACAGCGATCTCAGTGTCGCTTTCTAAAGGAAGTCTAGTGTAGGTTGATGACTAGATAGGGTAAAATTTTGTTCCCTCTGTGTGTATGTTGGTAGAGATAAACATAGTTGTTTGTAACAGTATGTGTTTTGTAAATATGTATTTGATATCAAGTAGTGCTGTAGAGCTCATGGACCTGCTGTTGTCTCATCTATGTAGTTTCCCATAGAGAGGAGTGAAGTTATCTTGCAAATAATAACTTTAATAAAAGGTAAAGGTTCCCCTCGACATTTAGTCCAGTCGTGTCTGACTCTAGGGCGCGGTGCTCATCCCCGTGTCCAAGCTGTAGAGCCAGTGTTTGTCCGAGAACAGTTTCCGTGGTCACGTGGCCAGCGTGTCTAGACACGGAACGCCGTTACCTTCCCACCATGGTGGTACCAGAAGTGGGCCTAGATAACCAGCTTCTCCAAAAATGTTTAAGTTAGCTCAGCTGCTTTTGAACTTAATTATGGATCATACTTCATTCCTTGTGAGGTCTGATAGGATCTGTATCCCTTCCACCTACTACCCACCTCAAATGTCTGTTCCGATTTGTCTATAGCAGAAACCCACAAAGCAAGGTAGTCTGGTAGCCGCAGTACCACAGACAGCTCCAAGTGAACGCCATGAGTATTGAAAGCTGGTTGACCAAGTCCTCATCAGTTCTGACTGTCTAGTCTGTCTCTCTTAAGGTCCATTTTCCTTGCCTAAAGAGTGAGGATTTGAAAGTATCTCGGTCCCAAATTTGTCCTGTTCCTCTGAATCCCACCTTCCTCTGCTGCTTGTTTTGTGATAGGTTGCAGGACTGGGGTTTATTTGTCATGCATGGGAGTTTGTACACATTTTGGTATGTACGTCTCCTAAAATACACATCTTTTAACCGTTTTTTAAATAGAGGCATTTTTACACATTTTGACCATAGATTAAAACCTGAGAGGAATTTTCAAGGGTGCACATCCCTTTTGAAGCATGAATGGAAAAGCAAAAGCAAAAGCAAAAAAGAAATATGTGATAGTTGTAATTGCCTCCCATTAAGAGGTTCTCTTAGCTTTTATAACCACAGTTGAAATACATTTATTCTCAAATGTGGCCAATGAGAATATATTTTACCATCCTTTCTGAAGAATATGAATCTAAAAGACTAGACCATTTCTAAAAGGATGATTTAGTTTCCCCCATAAAATGGAAAGTGCTTCTTTTTGTTTATGTGGCCACTTGTTTGGTGTGTTCCTTCATTCTTGTGAAGGGATGATTGAGGAAGAGGTGCTTTACTTTTGAGGCAGACCCCTCAAACGAGAACATTCACAAAGGTCCTGCCTCAGGTTCTTCAGGTTCACGATCACTTGTTTCAGATTCATTGTAAGGAATCCACTTCCTTAGACAGTTCATACTCTACTGCCTCATTCTCTTTGAGGATGATGTGGAGGATGTTACATAGGCAGTTTGAATCCTTTTGAATATAACTGAGGCAGGCAGAATTTGCTAGAAGCAGACCATGCTCACCTTGATTCCACTTACGTTCCTGTAAGCACCAGCTTCCTCCTCCTCCTTGAATCAAACTAAAAATAATATTGACCTGGAGAAGCAAAGGAGACAGAGGGCCGATAAATCACAATATTCTGTGGGAGAAATTGATGCATCACATTTTAAAGTGTGCAATTGGATACTAAACTTGCAACTGAAAATAATTGTGCATGTGGAAACTCTTGTGCCATCTGATTAGAGACATCTTATTTCTTCTGAGTGGGTCTCTATCAGTTTCCAGCGGCAGACTTTTTTACTGCACATTTGACATCCAGCTTCATGCTAGAAAAACACATGTGATTCGCTGTCTCTTTGTACTGAGGGCAAAGCATTTTATAGAATGAATGCTTATTCTCCAGAGTGACTCTTCCAGAAAGAAAGCACAGGATATCAACAGTGGTTTGCTAGGTAATGCTGTTGTTTTAAGATCTATGTCCTAAATATCCAGTGGTCAAATTTCTCATAGTTACACCTGCTAGTATTAACACAATTGGTGTAAATCTCATTGGCAGATTGCACCAAATTACAAAGTTAGTGTAGCCATTTGCTGTTGTGCATCAAGATGCCCAACTTGGTAGACAAGAGCAAATACTTACATTAACTGCTTAACTTGTGATGATTTGCCAACAAGATTTATACCAATGGTGTCCTGCTGGCATAAAAACTCATGAGGATTTTTGCCATTAACTCTTGTCTGTACCATGTCAGTGCTTCAAACAAGGTGACTATAGATTATACAAAACATTATGTTGAAATGTGTTATTTCAGTTAAGAAGCAAAAAGCAGTCATTGCAAGGGTGCTGTCAAAGTTGAGACAGTTGTACTTGAGGTATTTCCATTGCAAGGGTGCTGTCAAAGTTGAGACAGTGGTACTTGAAGTATTTCCATAGCAGTTGTTGTTGTGGGTTTTTCGGGCTAGTTGGCCGTGTTCTGAAGGTATTTGCCAGTCTCCGTGGCCGGCATCTTCAGAGGACAGGAACCAGAGGACAGCAAGAGGTTGCTGTCCTCTGAAGATGCCGGCCACAGAGACTGGCGAAACGTCAGGAAGAACAACCTTCAGAACACGGCCAAAGAGCCCGAAAAACCCACAACAACTATTAGATCCCGGCCGTGAAAGCCTTCGTGAATACATATTTCCATATCCTCAAACAAAACCATTTGCTCTCTCTAATTGGAGTCCGAAGGGAGCTAGAATCTAACTCCATTTCACTCATTATATACATTTTGATATATAGTACAGGTAGACAATGGGAATCATACAAAGTGAATTTGTACTTCTTTCTGTATATATGGTACTTCCTTTTTGTAGAGGATTACCTACTGTTTATCATGTTGCCAGTGCTCCACACATAATGTATGTGTCAGATAATTAAACCTTAGTAAACCAGCCAGACAAGTCCACTTCCTATAGGATTCATGCTAGAGATTTCTGAATTAACAGTCCAGTGCAAGCAACCCTGCTTTATCATTTTAATTATATTTTGTAAGCTGTCTCTTTACCTTGAAAGGCCTCATGTAAGTATTTCAAACAAACCAACAAGCAAGTGTGGTGAGTTCTCCACATGGCCATGGCTTCTTGATCATTTGCTTTTTCTCAGAGCAGTACTACAACTAAGTGCCACATACCTTCAAAATTTGGAGAAACTGCAAATCTCTCTCAACTCCTGTGTGTGAGAAGAGGAGAAAAATCCATTTGCACGTGTGCAAGCCGAGGAAACTTTCTAAAAGGGGGGGGCTCTTTGGATTGCAGCCTCTGTTTTTAAGAAAATATATTAACTCCTCAGAAAGATGGATTATGCATTTCTTTTTTCATCTTTTCTAAAGTTATATGAGGACAAAATATAAAACCTGTCCTTACGAGTAAAAGATTTGAGTTGCGTGGGTTTGCCTTTCTTGCTTTAGGGGAAGGACTTACTGAAGGCAATTAGAGGTAGGATTTTGACAGCTCACTCATATGTGTCATCTAAGTATTCTTCAAGAGAAGACAGGCAGAGACTTAGGGGACAGATTTTTGACGGCTCCATGAGAATGAAGGATCAAATGATTCTGAGAGACAGGGGTAGCTGGTTCAATGTATGACTCATATCTATTCAGAATTACAAGCTGAACTATAACAACACATTATTTCTCTCAACAGTGTGCAGGAGAAGAGAATTGGGTGGACAATCGGACTATTTATATTGGGCACCGTGAGCCACCCCCAGGCGCTGAAGCATATATTCCACAGAGGTATCCGGATAACAGAATAGTCTCCTCAAAGGTAATATATGGCATTTTTTTTCCTCCTAGCCTTGTTGACTAATTTGCCTAATACTTTTCATTTCATTCTGACCACTTCCTGTTTTTAACAACAGCCTTTTTGTTTCTTGAGCCATATAGTTTGCTAGCAGAAATTGAGGAAGGTATTACGATTAAAAAAACGACGACTTTGCTTTCCACCATCAGTGTTTTTCAGTAGTCAAATTATTGTTGGCCTGTTACAAGCATAAAATGTTACATTTGTGTCATTCTTATCTGTTGTTATGATGCAGTATAATAACGGGTTTTTACAAAAATAAATATTTAGTGTGTGAATTAAACAGAGTCCTGCAGTAGAGTAACTGCTAAGGGGTCAAAAGAACAAGCCAAGTGAACAAGTAAGTGGCACATGGCACTGTCTGAGCTTGTTCCTTTCTGTCACAATAGCACTCTTCACATAGGGACAAGGTGAGGGCCAATCCTAGGATAAATAACCACTTGAGTGTGGAGTGCTTTTGCTCCCCACAGTAAACTACACAGAGCCATCCATCATGTTTTGTTGGTTCTGGGCAGAAGTAATGGTGGGTGCCCAGCTATAGCCCCTTATAGGTATCTTAAGCATGTGTGTACAAAATTATGTTCCACTGACATTTACAGTACTTAGCATAGTTCACATTGGACAGGAAGTTGAAAAGAAAGGTCATTCCTGTAGTTAGACCTCAGACACGAACATCTGCTTTTTATCACTGTAGCTATACACAGTGTATAAAGGAAAGGGGGGGGGAGCTCCTGAGATGTGCTTGGTGCTCCCCTCAAGTCAGCTTGTTGCCAGCCTCAGCTCTGCACCCTAGGCAACTGCCCAGTTCCTCTATGTTAAGATCAGCCCTGGCTAAGGTTCTGTTTGGTCAGCCTGATCTGTGTACTTGACACAGATACTGCTTGAACTCTTATTAACTCTGCCCTAGTGTAATCATGCAGCATAGGTCGTAGGATCTGCAGAGTGCTGGGTTGATGGTATTAAATGAGACTGTAAGCAGAGATGCAGTTTCTGAATGTTGTTTTCTGCAAAGAAAACTTAAAATGTCAAGAAGAAAGGTTCTTGGTCAGCTGTTTTAATGCTATTTATTGGTTGTTTGCAAATAGTTTTGTACAGAAGAACATTTATGTAGTAAATTCATGCCCTCACATCCATTATGAAATGGTACAGTCAGTTCTCCAGCCATTAGATTCTGCCATGTCATCCCAGTCTTCCTTTGCTGTTTATGAAGATCAGACTACTGGTCTTCTGTGTTCTTCCAGAAAAAAAAACAACAACACAAAACTCTATAGCTTCTAGTGACCATGTGTGGAACCACATGTACGAAGAATTTTGGTCCTTTAAAAATGAGGATTGATGAAGTAATATTGACCAGAATCCTATTGATGATTTCTGCTTGCATGAGTGAACATACATTGCTGCTCATTAATTAGGTGCTGGTTGTGTTCCTGGGCCTCCACACATCACATGATCAGGCACACTGAGGAACCCAACCACACCCTTATTAACAGGTGGCAATGGCTGCCAAAACATATGTGATTTGCCTTGTGTAAGTATAAATCATCAGTAGAATTCTGGTCACCGAGTTCTGACTGAAAGTTAAGTCTGAATCAGAATTAAAATTAGCAGCAGTGTTTTCAGAGGAAATGGGAAGAATTTAATTTGTTGGTTGTGTTATTTTATTTTATTTAAAATATTTTTGCCCCTCATTTCTTCTTAAAAGGGGCCAAAGACGGTTGTGTCCTCATGGCTGTTACATACAAAAATTGTCCCTTTTATTGAGTTGATGCTGAGCCATGTACACAATGGGGTCTCTACATAATTAAGCTTAATTTCTGTCTAACATTCTCCTTTCTGACATGAAGTAGTATATTACTGCCTCCTCCTGTCTTCTCTAGAACCTGGATTTTTAATAATATATCTTTGCATCAGTGATTGAGATTTGACATATTTTCATTATGAAAATGCCATTTCTCTTCTCCTTAACACATCTTAAACTATGTTTTTCAACAAATTGAATATTTTAAATTATTTTCAAATCTACTTAAGGAAATTCTAGATTTTTAGCATTTTAAAAAAAGGTTTTAATACCTGGAAAACACCACTGTACAAAGTTCATTCGTGCATGTTAAAAGGCTCAAAAACCTTCTTGGGATATTTGCACAGATGTGTAACTTACTTTTTTCATCAAAAGCAGAGAGACTTGTTGAACTAGAATGTGTTTTTCATTCTGTTTATCATCTGACAGGAAAATAATGTCTGTAATGCCTAATGGATTGAAGCAACAACTTCATCTGTCTTGTTCTTCAACTTATTCTGCTGTTTGCCTGACAGAGATGGAAAACTTGTGGCTTCAGCTGTTTCTGAAATACAGCTCACATTTTGCCTGACCATTGACAGTACTGGCTAAAACCTATATAAGCTGAATTTTGACAACATCTGAAGGGCCACAAATTCATTAGCCTATCCCTAGGATATTAATTTAGATTCCGCCCCAGCAAGACATAAATAAATACCTGCGCCCATGAGGTTAGGTAAGTAGCATAGGATTGGCCCATTAATGCTTACTGAGATAGTTAAGCTCATTGCAACACTAGTATCTTTTGTACTATATTTTGCAGTTAATTCATCATTCTTCTCTGTTGTAAATGAGTACCCAGCTTACGGAGAGGTGGGGCAAAGTGTTCCTTGCATAATTATGTTGTAAACTGCCCAGAGAGTGCTAAAGGTCCAGCTTTTAATTCTAAACAAAACAACAGAAACAACAACAGGAGTGTTAACTATACTTAAAAGCCCTATGGGTTTTCATCTGAAAAGCAAATGATACCAGCATTTCACTTTGACAACACATTTCTGGGCATGTATCATAACACCATGTCAGAGGAACTGTCTAATTATGTTACTGACTTAGCATTTAGTGGAAATGTCACTTGCAGGTCATATTAGATCTCATTTGGTTAGAGGCATGTTAGCAATGCTTGCCAGCATTAGATGAAATATTAGTAATAGCTTTTTGGAATGTTGTGTGTCCATTAATGCGATATTGACACGTCAGTGCATTTTCAATCCAGTACTTAAACTACTGCTGAAGTATGCTTTGTTGCTACTGAATGTAGAAAAAAGAAAAAATTAGAGGTGTAAAAGGATGCGGCATGCTACTTGTTACTTAAGACTTGTCCAAAGGATGCTTCTCTGTTCTAGGTCTGGGCCTGCTGATAAGTCCCCAGATCTCTTTGAATCATCAGTGGATTTTCCCACTCTTTTCCACAGGTCTGGCCCTGCCATTAGGAAGAGGGAGGCAGCAGATTTTGGGTATCATGAAAGGGCAGCAAAATTGCTGAGTTATGTAATTTGTACTTTTTACAGCGACATGTGGAGAGGTGCTCCTGCCTCCTGTGCTCAAATAACCTGGCTGGCTTCAGATGCAGTGTATCTTAACTTGAATGGCAGAGGTGGGGGACATTTACTACTCTACTTTAGATAGTAAATTGGCTTAAGCTAGGCCTACCTCATCAAGCGAATGGCTGGAGTTCCCTTGACATATGATAGTTTTACTTCCCCTTTCCCTCCAAACATAATGCCCTCCACCCAGCCAAGGATCATCTGTCTGTGTGTAGGCATCAGATATTGTTAAAGTCCATAGTGGACCTTCTGCCATTGGAATGAGTGATTCAGGTTTGCTTCTGTTTCTCCCTTAATTATCCAAACTTGCTCCACAAATTATTTCCATTTCCAATCCCAAGTTCCTATAATAATGGTCACATCCAAATTTAGGAAGGTGAGTATTCCTTCTGAAAAGCTGTTATTTGATATATCAAGTTGCTTAATAATAAGTTGGTATACTGACATTTCTTATGATCATAATTGAAATAGTTTGTAGACCTAAAACTAAAATAAAATACAACTGACTGATTTAAGATCTTGGGATTCTATACATACATACATACATACATACATACATACATACATACATACATACATACATACATACACACACACACACACACACACACACACACACACACATACATAGATACATACATACATACATACATACATACATACATACATACATACATATACCATATAGCTAATCGTGCCAAAGGGCCCATCTGGATCAAATTGTGGAACTGAGTAACTTTGTCTGGACTGGTTTCTAGATGTAATTGCTTTTCCTTTTTATCATCAGTAGTGAAGTATGCCATATGAAATATTGTAAATACAGCATACAAAGCATTTTTCTTTCTTTCTCTTTCAGTACACTTTTTGGAACTTTGTACCGAAAAATTTGTTTGAGCAGTTCCGAAGAATAGCAAACTTTTATTTTCTCATAATTTTCCTTGTACAGGTGAGGTGTAACCTTTTCTTTTGTTCTGTTTTAAAACTGTAAGTAAATATTTGAACATTTGTTGAAATTAAATATCAGTATTTTCATACGTTTTATTTTGATGGAGGATGAAAAAGCCCACTAAGCTTGGGCAGAAAGACAACCAGAACAGAAACATGACATTTTAGAAACTGCAGTAATGAGTGACAACCAGAACAGAAACATGACATTTTAGGAGCTGCAGTAACGGGTGTGCTACATCTATTTAAATTCATTATTCTGTGTACATCTATTAGAAAGTAGATTCTGTTTGGCTGAGCAGGTTTATTTCCAGTTAAGATGTAAGATGACAGAAATATGTTCAATGAGAAAATGATACAGAACAATTTGTATCTAATCAGTGCAACATTAGCTGGACTGAAAAAAATATTTCTCAACACAGCATTTGGCTTAGAGATGACAAAAGGTGTTTTGTTGCAGGTACACCAAAACTGAATGTTTTCATTCCCATTTGGCATGTATAGGGCATTGGTATAAGTTGTAGTGGTACTGTCTAAATTGCTGTGATTGAAGTAGGGTCATTTATACATTACACCGTTTAGGTATTCCTGGAAATATAAGTGTGTGTGAGGCAAGCATGTGTGCTTGCAAACCCAAATGAGATGACTCTGAACGTTTCCAGTCTGCCAAGAGAACAAAAATTACTTTTGACATTTTGACAGTTTATTGAAGGGTAGCTTGATGATGGGGGGGGGGGGGGGCCACAGTTTAAATTGGTTACAGCAGAAAAAGTCTTGATGCAGTACAGTCAACCCTCAACTTACAAACATCCCTATACACAAACTTTTCGATTAATGAACGGCTCCGTTTGCAAAAATTGGCATCAACTTGCGAACAGAGCCTCGACCTACAAACAAGGTTGAGGCTCCGTTCACAAGTCAATGCCATTTTTTGCGAATGGAGCCATTTGTCGCCTTTGGAGGTCTCCAAGGGCTTTCCCCTCGACATCGGAGGAAGCCCTTTGAGACCTCCGAAGGAAAAAAGGCAGGGAGAAAGGGCTGGAAATTCGAATTTCCCGCCCTTTCTCTCTTCCTTTTTGCCTTTGGAGGTCTCAAAGGGCTTCCTCCAATGTCGAGGGGAAAGCCCTTTGAGACCTCCAAAGGTACCGGTAATTTTTTGAAATGGTGGAACGAATTAATTCCGTTCCTATGCATTTCAATGGAAAATGGTACTTTGACTTACGAACTTTTTGACATACGAACACCATTCCAAAACGGATTAAGTTTGTAAGTCGAGGTACCACTGTATAAGGAGCAGATCCCTGCATTGAGTGACCCACTTGTCATCCAGTTCATTGTTGGGTGACCAAGGATGGGTTGAGTATGTATTCCCCAGGTGCAAGACCAGGACAGTCTGTTGGTACTAGCTGTGGGGGATTTTAGCCATCCTTCTGAAGTAGGCTTGCCCCTATCTGTCCCCAATTCCTCGATTCCCAAAGGAAGAGGATCCCTTACCTGGGAGAAGGCCCAATGTCCATCTCCTGCACCAAGGACCTGCTCCTCCTGCAACCAATAAACTGGTGACAAGAGACAAATCAATCATTACAAGCTAATAGCACAGAATGTCTCCTCTCCACACTCAAAATTATGCAGATAGCTTATTATTTAAAGGATGGGTGGTTCAATGACATTCAAAAGCTGGAGAGGACCCTAGAACACTCAATACTGTATATCCTTCCCTGGTAGACTGGAGTGAAACCTGCTGCACTGCAATCTGCCAGGCAAGGGCCCCACTGACTTCTCCACTATCATCCCCTGATTGGCTGGCCCTTCCATGCTCCATGCAGAATGTAGAGCAGGTTGGGAAGGAGACAGGAAGAAGATGGGTCCTTTTCTCATGTTGTGTGACTCACCAAGTTGCAAGCAGGGCACCAGGTGCATTGGTCAGACTGGACGCCCCTAGCATGTCAGAAAGCCATGATCAGTTGTATTTAATGATTGAATGGGGGACATAGAAGTATCCTCCCTAAAGAGTGGGAAAGCATTGCAGGTACATTCAGGCACCTGCTAGGCAGTGTCATAAGGACAGACAGTCTTTTACTTCTAGAAGTGTTGCATTGTAATATATCCATAATGTTAAATTGTGCAACAGTCTTATACAAATAAAAAGGAAGAAAGATTTGTTGAATGTGTACTCATTGGCAAAACTATACTCAGTAGCAAACGTATGCAAATTTGGCTCTGTATATATAGCACAAAGATGTTTTTGGACTGCAACACTCATCAAACCTAGCCATCATAGTCAGTGGTGAGATATCATGTGGGTAATTGTCTAGCCCTAAACTACAGCAAGTAAATTGACCTGACAAAAATGGTAGGTACCTAACAGGAGCAGAAGACATCAAGAAGAGGTGGCTAGAATACACAAGGGAATTATACCAGAAAGATCTGGATGTCCCGGACAATCCAGGTAGTGTGGTTGCTGACCTTGAGCCAGACATCCTGGATAGTGAAGTCAAGTGGGCCTTAGAAACCTTGGCTAACAACAAGGCCAGTGGAGGTAATGGCATTCCAGTTAAACTATTTAAAATCTTAAAAGATGCCGCTGTTAAGGTGCTACACTCAATATGCC